CCAGCTTTAATGTTCCAAGTCTTATTTCTGTCACTCATTCGTAACTCCATTCAATTCATTTGTTTTAATGGCTGCATATTATTCCGCAGTATGAATGTATTGTTTGTTTAAGTGCTTTTCAAACCTTTTTGTTCACATACTCTAAAATTTTATAAAATTATCTACTTTCTTAAACATTTTTAGGTTACCTGTTATTTTTTCAATCATGAGTTGTTGTAAAGGATATAATTTCTTTCATATTATAAACACTGACAGTCTTAAATAAAACTGTTACATCATTCTTTTAAATCTCTTCAGTGGAACCTGCATACCACAGAAATTTGATAACTAGCATCATCCATTTAAAAAATATATACGAATAAGTTCTTTTACCACTAAGAAATTTTATCTCATTCTTTTTTTGCCTTAAATTTAGATTTCATTCTACTTCCTCCATAGAATTTATTTCTTGATCACCAAATTTAATTTGGCACATAATGTTATTAGATTTCTGTGACTATTAGGTATTAAATATTTTCTCTGGATTGAGTTAATGTTATAGTTAAAAATACCATAAATATATTACAAGTTTTGTTCAGTGTTGATTAAACAAAAAAAAGTTTTACTGGAAATACATATCTTTTTTCAACTAGTTCATGTACTTATAAATATTACTTATTGCTAGTAGAATAATACAGTGTTCAAGTATCTATTCTAATTCTATTTTTTCTTTTTATAGATGTAAGTGCTGAGAAACCTTGTTTATATGATTATATAGATGGGAGTGAAAAGACTACTATATATAGCAATGCCACTCGGTTCTTTGGACTCACTCTGAATTATAGGCCAAAAAATCACTTAGTGATCTATCACCAAAAAGTATTTTGAGTGTTCTATCACCAACAGCTTGAGTTTGTCCTCCTTCAGTTTTTGTTAAGCAAAGTTAAAAGAATTGAAAACCATGTGACTTAGAGTACAAAAAATTCTATTTATTGGTAGTTGTTAGGTTCATTCACTTTCTTGACATATCTTGAGGTTTGTCAGGTAATATAAAATAGTAGATTCAGGGCTGGGGTTGTGGCTCAGTGGTAGAGCGCTTGCCTTGCATGAATGAGGCACTGGATTCGATCCTCAGCACCACATAAAAATAAATGAATAAAATAAAGATATTGTGTCCATCTACAACTAAAAAATTTTTTTTAAAAATAATAGATTCAGGATGAGAAGAAGATGTATCTTTCAAGTATAAGGTAGAAGGCAGGGAACCAGACTTAATTATGCAGGCAGGATAATTTTGGAAAGTGAACACTAGGCAAAGGTCAGGAAATTAATTCCTTCAAACTATTTGTATTCACATACTCTTTGGAATGTCTTCATCTACTTCTAAGGGTATGTGTTCCCCAGTTCAGGGATCCCTGACTTGCTTAACCAAGCCTCTGTTGATAACTTAAGTGTAGCTTACAGGTTTTCAGTAATACTGCTTAAGGGCATTGACATTTTGGTACCTTGTCATATTGCCCCTTTTACTTATTTATACTCTTACCAGCAGTACATGAAAGGATCTACTTACCTACGTCCTGGCCAGCACTACACATTCTGTCTTTATTATCAGGTATCAACTTAATAGCAGAAAGTAATCATATTGTTTGCCTTTCTTTGATTATTAATGGTGTGAGCATCTTTTTTATGTGTCCATTGGCCATTTGTATTTCTTCCCTCAATTTTCCTATTTCTATACTTTACCAGTGTTTCTATTAGGAAATGGTGATTTTTCTTATTGATTTGTAAAAGCTTGTGATCTACTGAAGCTGTTTGCTGTCATTTTGCTTGTGTTTATGTCTGTTAGCTCTTTATGCTGGTTTTTGCATCATAGAACTTTTAGATGGTCATGAATTTGTCAAGTTTGTCCCATATGGTTTCTTTTTTTTCATTATTAGTTCTTTTTAGATGCACATGATAATAGAGTGTATTTTGACATATTATACATACATGAAGTACAACTTATTTCTAATTAGGATCTCAATCTCATGGCTATACATGATGTAGAATTTCACTGTGCTACATTCATATATAAACATAGAGAAGTTGTGTCCAATTCATTCCACTGTCTTCCTTTTCCTATCCCCCTCTCTTCCCTTCATTCCCCTTTGTCTAATCCAGTGAACTTCTATTCTTTCCCATATGGTTTCTAGATTTTACATCGTGCTCATAAAAATTATTTTCTGTTTCCTTTAGGTAGTTTTATGGTTAATTTTTAATGCAGAAATATTTAATCCATTTAGAATTTATTGATATTATAAAATGTGAAGTTGCATCTGTTTTTTCCTCACTGAATTTAGTCAGTTTTTCTAACCCTATTTATTGTAGAATTTGTCTTTTCCCTACTGATTGAAAAATGCTACTTTTGCTATATTCTAGATTCTTACATATTCCTGGCCTCTTTTGTGGAAGCTTTGAAGCTGTCTTACATCCTTGCCTCCTGCAATTTGTCTGTTCAGTCTCTTTACTACTAGCACACTTATTGTCCTGGAACATAGATTGTATCATATTCTCTTACAGAAACTCTTTCCGAGTGTTCTATTGACTACAAAAAAAAAAAAAAGAGACCAAACTTGTTAGCTAGGTCTAGTCCTAACCACATTTCCCCATGGCCCTCTGCTTTTTAGAGCATAGCATGTGTTTTTCTGTATTTGTACCTTTGTTCCTACAGTTCTCTTGGCTAGAAATAGCTTTCCGATCCCTATTCTTTTTTGTAACCAAGCTGTACTTTCCTTTTAAGGCCCACTATAAAGCCTTACCAAAGCCCCCTCTTTAACTTTTGTTTCATTTGATTTCTAATTATTATGGTTTACCTTCCTACTTCCACAAATATAGTATCAACTTCTTAGAGTTGAAGGGGTCTCATTAGTCTTTCCTCTTCTTCTGTTGCCTTTCATCTGATCAGTCTTTAGAAAATGCTTGTTGAATGGAATTGAATTTTATCATATATACACACACTCATATAAAGTCTGGAGGAAATCAGGTGCAGATTTTAAAAAGAGTCCTCTCCCAGTGGAATCATACAGGACTTGCTTAATTACCCCAGCAACAAGTTGTTACAACATATGTGAAATGTTGCCAGCCTGGAAAGCTCTCTAGATTCAGTACCCAGGGCTTTTGCTGGGTGCTGATCATTTAAGCACTTGCTTCAGGTACACACACTAGCCTCCCAGAAGGAAAGTAGGTATTCAAGAGAAACCATATTATTTACACAAATAATTTTAGCATGCACCAGTTAATGGAAGGAATGAACACTCCTGAAATTTAAGTTCTCACATGCCCGTCAAGGGCCAGCCTTACAAGCAGGACTTTCCAAGGATAGTAGTCAGGCCTGCTGTGTTTAACTCTTTCTGTATACTATATTTTTGAGGGCTTAATTTCACAGATGGTAGATGCCTAACAGGAGAAAAGGATCAGTATAATAGGAATAGTCAGGGCATGTAAGTACTATTATTTGATACTGTCTTCATAGAGGAGGTAGGTTATAAGATAAGGCATGGAGAAGAGCTGGGCATAGAAAAAGCTAATACCATATTTGGCAGTAGGTTGTAGGATTAAAGTAAAATGGGATTGTATAAATTAGAGCCTCCAAAGCTGTGTATATTCAGGATTTGATGTGTTAATAGTAGGACATATTCCTAGACTGAGAAGGAGAAGGATGTTCACTTGGTTAGCAGTTGATAGGTTTCTGTGAAAGAAAGATGAGATGCAGAAGGACCAGCAGAGGAACATTTGCAGTGACCCAGGTGTCAATTTATGAAGACCTAGCTGAGAGGGAGCTCATATATCTAGTTCAGCATTCTACTTTCAAATCATTGGAAGTGCAGGGGATTAACTTGAGAGACGGTGTGAAAGAAGCTATGTCCAGGGTGAATGCAGTTCAAAACAATTGCACATTTTTATGAAAAAAAATTTCAGTTGAATTTTCTTTTGAATTATTGTAGTTAGAATTTCCTTTTAAAGTTATTAGTAGATAACATTTTATTTAAAGATAAATTTATGATTTTTATATTGTACAAGTAAGAATATGATTGAGCCTACCTCTATTTAAAGGAATGATGTTGAACAAAATATATTTGCATGTATTTTGAACATTTCATTAACCAAAATAGAAGAATAAGAATTTTCTATCAACACTGTTTTTGTTTGGATTTGAACATTTCCATACTAATACAAATGCCAATAAATAAATCAACTTTTAAATTTCTTTCAGTTTTAATATTGTAAGATCCTAGTAAAAGGTAAGGATACATGTATTAATAAATTTTTATTCTTTAATGTCCCTGAAAAACATGTCATTCTACCATTTTTGTTTTTATTAGTTGCATGGTCTTATGTCAAGTTTGTAGTTGGTAATTTAATATTGTGTATAGTATCACAGTATGGAATCCACATTCATTACCCTTTAATCATAGTCTTACTGTTCTTGTGAATCCTTTTCCCATATTTATTGAAACCTTATGAATTTACATTGTAGGTAACCACCTGAAAGCAAGAAAGCTTTTTCCCCTTTAATAGCTTTCTCTGCAGTGATCAGTCATTAGAAAAGCCCATATAATTGTAGAATTAGAAATATCATATAATGGGAAGGACAAAATAGTAGTTTGAAGTTGTACTTGTGTCACATCAGGCTCTGAATTGGAGAGACAAAGGTTTAAGTGTCTCAAGTTTATGCCAGGGATGCCCTCCCTCCCCAAAACTCACCCAACTAGCAGAATGCTGTTTTCATCAATTTACTAATACCAGTGTTATCTAGTGTCATGTTTTTTGTCGTACTGACTTATCATTTGATATCTGCTTTGATGTGTTCTCTTATTACTTTGTGTGTTTGGGGTTCTACATAACTTTTGTGGGGATCTCAAGGTGCAAATAGTACTATATAAGTTAAACTGTCAAAAATTGAGATGAGAACTCTAGCTCAGATACTATAACTGATTGTTTCTTATTTTGAAGTCTCTATTTCTCTTGTTTTCTCTTGGTAGGAATATACAAACATTGCTACAGAAACCTAATCTGGAATTGTTACAAATGGAAGCAACCCTTCAGGAGGATATTTGGGAACATCTGTTTTTGTCCGGAATTAGAATTGGCACTAAGGGCACTAATACTGTAACTTTCTTGATAAAATAACTTTATTTTTCAGTAGTGGAATGCTGCAACTTTTTTACACTTAAAATTGCTTTTAAATTACAGTATTCAGTTTAAAAGTTGTATTAACTACCGTTTCTTTTGCAAAAAGTCTCAATAGAAATACTTGAAGGGCATTATTTGTTGATGCATTTTTCTCTAAGCATGGTTTCGAGAGAACTTAACCAAGTTATATCCAGACATTTATATGTTGAAAGCTTTGTTTATGTAAAACAAAAGTATCTGAATTGTATAGTGTCTGTACATGAAAGAACTTTAACAGTGGCCTTACAGTAGCTAATTTTATACTGGGTTTTTCTTTTTCTGATGACATTTTGGCTTATAACTTGAAGTTTTTCTTAAGTTTCTGATGATTAAGGCCTATATAATTCATACATTTCATATTATGATATCAGAAGGCTAGAGAAAAGGTGCTTCAAATTTTCCATCAGGTAGTTGTGAGTGCACTGAATTTTTAGTAATTTGTTCATTCAGTTGTTTCCACAACTATTTGCTCTTTTCCAATTTCAAAATGCTATTGTGGAAAATGTAAAGATTTTGTAATCTATATTCCATCTTATTTTTCCCTCAGGGCAAGCTTGTGCATATCATATTTTTAAAGGCTTTTAAAAATGTGACAGACAAAATCTCATATTTGAAAATTGTACTTTACTACTACAGCATTACATGTTTTGCAAGCACATCTTATAGAGTGTTTATTTTCAGTTCAGTTGATATGTATAGTGTGCCTACTATATGTAAGATAGAATCGATGGGATTTTAAGTGAAATTTTTAGGTCCCAGTACCTGATTTCTTTATGTTTTCTATGTTCTGCTTAACAATACATATACATTCCCAACTAAATTTTTGTGAAATGTTTATTTGTAATAAAGTAAAATATTGTTGCTCTTTCTGCTTGAAGAAGTTACTCTACAATTTGTGTGAATGTTATTTTAATTTTCATTGAGACTTACAGCCTTGGGTAGGACCTGTTGATCTTTAATGTTGCTCAGCACTTGTGAAGACAGAGCTTTCTAAATCAAAATATGAAGGTTGGTAAGAACTTGGTATTTCATAACAGGATTATAAAAAATCTTACTACAAACATTTAGGTCTTTGCATATCTTGAAAAGATGGGACAGTCTTTGCTTTACATGAGTCATTTGATAAAGGGATAGGGCAAGAGCACTTGATTCATTGCTAACTGGATAATAAATTTAGGCAGATGGCCTTCTCTATAGGTCAGGTTTTAAAAAAAATATTTAACATTCTGCTTATGGTAAAAAAAAAAAAAGAAGGGAATACAAATAGTATGACAACTTTGTATTGTTTGAGTACTTATAAAATCTGTCAAAATTTAAAAAAATATATTTTTAGTTGTAGTTGGACACAATACCTTTATTTTATTTATTTATTTTTATGTGGTGCTGAAGATCAAACCCGAGGCTGCACATGTGCTACACGAGTAGTCTACTGCTGAGCCACAACCCCAGGCCACCGCACCCCTCCCTTCAAATTTTAAAATAATTTATTTCAGGGGCTAGAATTGTGGCTCAGTGGTAGAGCACTTGCCTAGCATGTATGAGGCACTGGATTTGATCCCCAGCACCACATGAAAAAATAAATAAAGATATTGTGTCCATCTACAACTAAAAAAAAAATATTAAAAAAAGAATTGATTTCATTTGTTCCCATATCTAGAGGACAGTTATGGGCTTTGAATGAATATTTAATTATTTGGTTGATAACTATGTATTTCATAGATAGTGTGCTTAAATTAAGGCAATGAAGAAGACACATGGACCCTGCCCTTATAGTACAGACAGTCTAATAGGGAAAATGGACATTAGATATAGAAATGAAACTTGTTAAACAACATCAGTTCTATAGCCCTATTTTTATTTATTGTAGCAAGGGTAAGATGGTTTATTTAATTTACTCATTCCACAACTGATTCGCTATTTAGGCCTATTTGAATATACTTTTGTCACTGTCTCAAAATGCAAAGCATGTTAACTGCAAAATACCTATTCAAAAAACATTGCATGGGGCTGGGGATGTGGCTCAAGCGGTAGCGCGCTCGCCTGGCATGCATGCGGCCCAGGTTCAATCCTTAGCACCACATACAAACAAAGATGTTGTGTCCGCTAAAAAACTAAAAATAAATATTTAAAAAATTGCATGTATAAGATATAAAGCCTAAATAGGAAAACTTGCTTTATAATTTAGTGTATAAAATAAGAACAAGGAGGATGTGGTTGTGGCTCAGTGGTAGAGTGCTTGTTGCTCACGTGTGAGGCACTGGGTTCAGTCCTCAGTACCATATTAAAAAAAAAAATAGAATAAAAGTATTGTGTCCATCTACAACAAAAAAAATTACCAAAAAAAAGAACAAGGGACCATATTAATCTTATTCACCATAATGTCACCAGTGTCCAACATCCTACTTGACACTTAGCAGGAACTCACTAAATGGAAATGTTAATTGAATGCTGAATGAGTAGTTAGTAGGATATGTTTATTAGGATCTTCATATATAATTTTCATATGGAAGTTAAATAGGTTGTCTGTAGCTTTGGGGATGGGGATTGTACTCAGGAGCATTCGACCCCTGAGCCACATCCCCAACCCTATTTTGTACTTTATTTAGAGAGAGGGTCTCACTGAGTTGCTTAGCACCTCGATTTTGCTAAAGCTGGCTTTGAACTTGCAATCCTCCTGTCTCAGCCTCCTGAACCGCTGGGATTACAGGCGTGCGCCACCGTGCCCAGCAGCATTTTTAATTGACTAGAAAGAATCTGAATTCTTGAATGAATAAGATTTGAGAAGTTTTTTGAAGCATCCTATACCATTACTTCCTCCACTTCCCCCCTGCATTCTAGGCCCTTCACTGGCACTAAGAACACAGTAAGATACAATCCCTGCTCTGAGGAACCTCACAAACTATCCAGGAAGAGATTGACAAAGAATTGGAACATAATAGTGTTAAATATTATAATAGACATAAATGCAAAAGATTGAAACTTTGACATTCCTAGTTGAGTATCCCCTCTTTGAAATTCTTCACTAAACTTAGAAGGTACTATTCTGTTGGTGATTTTGCCGGTTATAAAAATTGACCTATTGAAAGAAACTGGGTACATGGAATCTTTGTATATTATTTCTCATAGTTTCATGTGAATCTATGGTTATCTCAATACACGATTAAATTTTAAAACTACTCATGGTTGTATCACAGAGAAGATTATCATGAATATTTTGGAGGATACATTTTCTTTTTTTCTTTGGGAAAAAAAACTATATTTACATTACAACAATTTAAGTAGATGTATAAAGGTACCACATTTTACCTAATGGATCTAAATCAATTTTTGTGGGGGGTTTTTTTGCTTGTTTTTTTTAATTTTAATATTTATTTATTTTTTTAGTTTTAGGCAGAAACAACATCTTTGTTTGTATGTGGTGCTGAGGATCGAACCCCGCTTGAGCCACATCCCCAGCCCCGCTTTTTTTTAAGGGTTTTGTTGTTGTTTATGGTTCTGGGGTGCAAACCTCGAGAGTTGTGCATACTAGGCAAATGCTTAACCACTGAACTACATTTCCAGCCTGTGAGCCAATCATCAGCTGGCAGCTGGAAGTTTGCTGGGGCCCCTTCGGCTGTGGCTCTCAACACCAGCCCTTGGATCTTTTTTTTTTTTTTTTTTTTTTAATGGATGGGTTACTTTTAAGCACAAGCAGGAAAATTAAGGTGGGTTAGAAAGTCTTTCCTTTTCCATCACCTAGCAAATTCAGTAACCACCAAATAAGGAAAGGAGAAGATGCTCATGGCAATAAGGTATAGTATGACTTTGAACCCTTCTGCATGGCACTGAGTAAAGAAACAGTGTTGACAAAATCTTGGTAATAATGGACCCCCAAATATGAACAAAGGAACTAATGGGGTGACCAGGACACATGGAGGAGAATCAAGGAAAACCTTTGAGATACCAAAGTCTTTGCTAACATCCCAGCATTTCACCAGGACTAGATGTTTCCCAGATGCCAGAGCAGCCTGGGGAAGCCACTGAAGAAGTAAGGTATATCTTTGGGTCCAATGAGCCCTGGCTTTGGAAAGTTAATGAGAATTCAGAAGAGAAGGGATACCAGATTTCCCCACAAAGTTCCAGCCAAAGGAATGTTTATGAGCTTTGAGTCCATTAAACTACAGAATTAAGATGTTTAAACAAGAATCATAGTGGTAGAATAGCATATAAGTGTTAGAAATCTTGACAAAACTTAACACACATTGACAGATTGGGACATGGGGGAAGGAAAGTGGGGTAAAGAGTAGGTACTACTACTGTCTTCTCTTTCATGGAGATGTTTCATAACATCTTTAAGATTATAGGGATAAAAACCCTAATGACCACTGTAACTTTTTCATAGTCTTATTTTTCCTTGATCTTAGCACAGTTCTCAAAAGTGTGGTGTCAAACCAGGAACATCAGCATCTCCTGGGAACTTGTTAGAAGCATAGATTCTTGGCCCTACTCCAAACCTCCTGAATCAGAAACCCTGAGGTGGGCGCCCAACAACCAGTGATTCAATAAACCCTTCAGGGGATTTTGTTGTATACCCAAGTTTAATAACTACTGCCTTACTTACTCTTTGAAGAACTGGTAGATGTATGATGAAGAAATATTTATGAAATGTAGCAACCCCTTCTGTTTCATTTCTAATTATTTTCTATTATATTCAAATAAATTTAAAACTTTAAAATAAAAAATATAGCAATTGCATCAATTCTGTCCATACATATGAATGAATACTGTTCTGGAAGTTTACCAACCCCTGTTAAACTGTTATTTAAGTAATAGGATTGTGAGTAATGGTGCTTTTCTGCCAGATATAATGAACATTGTATCATTTTTATAAAGTTTATTCTTTTGTTTAAAAGTATGACACTTCATCCTAACCATTTGATATCTGTCACTAAAGTTCATGTGAGCAAGCTTTAACTCTGTAAACTATCTACTTCACTATAGTCCAGTGGAATTTTACTCTACCCTTCCTCCTCTCACATAAAAAAGCAGGTAGGCTTATTTAAGTATGCATTGTGTTGACTTTTTAATAAAAATTATTGGTTTGCAATACTTAACATAATAATATAAAATTTAAATTCATCTTACTACTGTTTTTTTAATATTTATTTTTTAATTGTAGTTGGACACAATAGCTTTATTTTATTATTTGTGATGCTGAGGATTGAACCCAGGGCCTCGTGCACGCTAGGCAAGTCCTCTACCGTTGAGCCACAACCTCAGCCCTTACTGCTGTTTTTTAAAAAGAAAAACAAAATGTCTTAACCTGATAAGAAAAAGTTGTTCAAGACTGCAGCTGCAAAATAGAGTTACTTTTGAGGTTCTTATATGTCACCACACCAACGCCTAAGTTGTTTTGTTCTAAGAAATCAGAAAAGAGATGATAGCAAAATCCTGTTAAGTCCACAAGATTTCACTTACATCCCTATAAGGAAAGTT